AAATGAAAACTGCTAAACTAAGACAGATTTTTAATGATTGGTTTATAGAATATAGACTCGAGATTAATTAAAGAAAAAAAAGTATATTTGTTTTAATATTCATATTTCTAATTTATTTTGTTATATATTCACTTATAAGAGAAATAATTGAGTTAAATAATGATTCCAACTTATGTAAAATTTTCAACAAGAAATTATTTAGATCAATAAAAAGATTTAAATAAAAGAAATACTAATTACCTATAGTAAATTTTAATTAAATATAATAATTTATGAAAAAATATTATATAGATTTAAAGTTTTAAAATGGCTTACAATTTTATTAATAGTTTCTACCTTCTTATAAATCATATTTTTTTTTTAATCTTTAGAGTCAATTCACGTGATGTCTTAGTAATATGACCTAAAAAGACAAATTAAACAAAATGAAGAGTATTATATAATCATAAATTTTCTTGATAAATTTTACTTCTTACACTGAAAGAATGCTCCAAAAGAACTCTCCTAATGTTGATTATGTATCGATATTAAAAGATTTACATTAAAAATTATGATATCATAAATTTTAGAAAATATATTTCGCATAGATCATAGTAAAATTGATATAATTTATTATAATAAAGTTGATGTTTCCAATTAATTGCCAGTTATTTATATATAGTCTAAAATTATCAATAATTTTAAGTAAAGATAATCCAAAGAATAATTTCTAACCCTTCTAAAATGAAAGAAACTCTATTGGAAAACGAATTTAAAGAACCAAAAGTGATGATAATACATCTAAATTTCATTTTCTTTAGGTTAATAAGTAGATTTGCATACTAGAAAGAAACAGTGCCGTTTATAAATCATACTTTTAAGTGGAGTACTACTAATATACTCTGTCTTAAAAAAAAAGATATAACTCCACAAGATCAAGCTATCTTTTTTAATAAAGGCTCAGAAATTTTAAAATCAATTTTTAAGCTGATTAAGGTTTCATTAAAGAGTTTAGAGAATACAAAAAAAGTATGTTCCGAAAACTCAATTTAGCAGAGCCTTTTTAACTTCTAGGAGAGAACATTTCTATAAAGATGTATATTTTGAAGTATTTAAGTTATGATAGAATCATACTCCTGCACCTGGAGTCTACTCAGATTAATTATTAATAACTGAACCAGGTCAATCAATTGAGTTTAATAAAAATCCATAAATGATAAATTCATTGTCTTCAATTTTTTAGAGGGACATTTCCCATTTCCAATTTCGAATGAATGACAATTCACCTGATTTATAGAGAACCATAAGTAGGAATAAGGCATGTTAAAGAAGTAATTTTTTTATATCGAGATTCAGAAGGAGAACATGGTATTTTGAAAAGGTTTATAGTGAAGAAACTTAAATAAAAAAAACCTAATGATGAATAAAAAATGACAGAGAGAATGAGTACTTTTTATATGAGTAATAACAATATGGGAAATAAAGACAAAATATATTTATAAAGATTAGATTATTATAGAATAATAGATAGCAGTAATGAGATAAAGAAGTTAGAATAACCAGATGCTCTTGATAATAATTGGAGTAAGATTTTATAAATATAAATAATTAATATATAAAGAGCGATATGGTTTTAAGAAATTAAAAGGAGGTAAAATTAAAAAGTAAAGATTGTAAACAACTGCAAACGGATGAAATATTAACTTTAATTTGTTTATTTATTGATTCTTTTTGATTCATACTTCATTTTATTTGTTTTGAGATAATGAGGAATATTATCTTAACAGAAAAAATAAATTTCTTCATTAAATATATTATGCTTAAGAATATTCTCCATCTAGGTCCTTAACTAAAATCTTTTGCTAGAATAAACTAAGATGAATTTATGAAATTAAAGTAAAGAAAAATAGAATTAGAACTCAAATTAAAATAGAAAGAATTAGAAACGAAATAAAATTAAAAATAAGACTAAAATATAGATTAAGAAAACACTATATTTAAATAATCACAGCCTCAAGATTCTAAAAAATGGAAAGGAGTATTGAAAAAATGTAAACAGATTAATATTCATGACCATCCTCAACTTTAGCATAAATGAAGGAAGCAGAAAGAGTAAAGAAGGAAAAAAAGAAAAAAGCACTATTAAGTAAATTTGAATAATTGACAATATCTTTAAGAGTTGATAATGTTTAAATTAAAAATAAGATATTAAAAGGAAAAGTGAAGTAATTACATTTTAAAAGCAGAAGGATAACATTTTTATGAAAAAATGCAATGGTATACGAAAATAGAAAAATCAAATAAGAGATGAAAATCTGGTAGAATAAACATCATTATTCAATCTGCTCCAGAAGCTGAAGCTAAGATAAAGGTAAATAAAAATTTAGCTAATGAAAGTGATGAAATATTAAATGGATTTAAGATTGATTAAAAAAAACAAGAAGAATAACATTTAAAAACTAAAGAAAGATGCATGATCTTAGTTAATGAAATCAATTAATAAAAAAAGTATGTGATAATTTTAGAAATAATAAAGTAGGAGAACTATATGAAGTTTAATAAATTATTCAAAGAGATGCTATATTTTATTATAAAGATAAAAGGTTAATTAAATCAATTTTATAGTGATTTATATGAATAAGTTCTTTTTATTAAAGAGAATTGAATGAATAAAAATTCGGATAATCAGAATTTAAGAGATTATTATATTATTAAAGGGACTATTGAATTAACGATTTAGAATTTGATAGAGAAAGATTCTTAGTAAGTCCAAGATTTTGATAGATTCGAAAATAAATTCGGTAGACAAATAATTGAATTAGATAGAGTTAAAAATGAAAGGAATACATATTTTTGAAACATAGCACATCCGATTGGATATGAAATTTCAAGAGAAGTGCCTTTATGTCCTCCTTGTTAAGATAAAGATGTTATAAAATTAAGGAAGGGTCTTTTATTTTTGAAAGAAGAAAAAGTGAGAGCACCAGATGAAGCTGAATATTTGGAGTATTGATATCAAGATTTAGAATTAGCAGAAGATAGAACTATTAGTTTAATGTTTAATGGCACATCAAAATAAGAATGAATCTGATCTTAATTATAAATTCCAAATAGGATTATGAAGTTTTTCAATGAACTTCTCTTTTGATTGGCAGAAGTTTTGTTAAAAAAACGATAGTGTAATCAGAAGTCTTCAAAAACAATACTTACTAAATCAAAAAAAAAAATCTGTGATAAGATTTAAAAATAGAAACTTTAAAGCAATAACTATCAAAGCTTTAAGTTTTTCAAATCAAGAGGGTTAGGGTCTGACTGAATATAGCCCAATTATATATGATAAAAATTTTAGTCGAGTTATTAAAGCAGTGGTTCTTTTTTTGTATCTGAAATTAAAAGTTTTGGTTCCATAATTATATTAATGTAATTGTAAACTGGTGACTACTAAAATATTTCCTCTCTTGTTTATTGTAGAAAGATCATGTGAAGTTAATTAGTTTGGGCTATTGAATGGTGTCATTTTAATTGAGTTTACGTTCTAATGATTCATCCTGAAGAATGGATTACCAAGCAATTCTCTGGCTGTGGTTATTATTAAATTAAGTTTCCAACTCAGAAATAGTTTTATAATGTATTATATGTGTGTGGCTTTTAAAAAGTTTGACAATGATGTTTAATATATGGTCCTGCTTCTATTAGATAAATTCCCAATTTAACTTATAGTAACCAGATCTAAAAATAACATCTTATATTATATATTTAATTTTTATATGGGGACCATTTAAAAAAACTTAATCTTTTTAGATCCAATCCTCCAAAACTAAATGAGTTTCAAAAAAATTTTGGAGGGTGATATTTTTAATTCATCTTTTTTAACAACAACATCTTAAATTTCCATTCTATTTATATATATGAATTGGAAATTATAAGTATTATAATAATGATTGAAGATTCTCTTTTCAATTTAACTTTTATGATGACATAGTTAAATACAATATTTCAAGCTTCTGAGATATCAGCTTAGCCATCAGATATTTTTAAATAAAATAAAATTTTCAATGAGCACAGATCTATATTAATATAGCAATATAACTAAAATGAATAATATAGAAAATGAAATTAATAAAAATATTTGAATGATTTTATTATCAAATTTTTGTGAATTCTTCAAATATTTCTTCTAAACTGCTATGCATAACAAAAAAGTGCATTAAATGATACAAAGGATTTAAATCCTTGTTTTTAAGACTTTTAGCTATTAACCTATAAATTAATATTCTTCCAAATACTGTAAGCGGTTCTATTAGGATTTGCGAAATCAGAATATTTCCTAAATATATAATGGCAAATATATATTATTCTGATTNCAGAAGGATAACATTAAAAATGAAAAAATGCAATTGTAAACGAAAATAGAAAAATCAAATAAGAGATGGAAATCTGGTAGAATAAACATCATTATTCAATCTGTTCCAGAAGCTGAAGCTAAGATAAAGGTAAATAAAATTTAGCTAATTAAAAAGATGAAATATTAAATGGATTGAAGATCGATTAAAAAAACAAGAAGAATAACATTTAAAAACTTAAGAAAGATGCATGATCTTAGTTAATGAAATCAATTTCAAAAAAAAATGTGATAATTTTAGAAATGATAAAGTAGGAGAACTATATGAAATGTAATAAATTATTCAAAGAGATGCTATATTTTATTATATAGATAAAAGGTTAATTAAATCAATTTTAAAGTGATTTATATGAATAAGTTCTTTTTATTAAAGAGAATTGAATGAATAAAATTCGGATAATCAGAATTTAAGAGGTTATTATATTATTAAAGGGACTATTGAATTAAAGATTTAGAATTTGATAGAGAAAGATTCTTAGTAAGAGTCCAAGATTTTGATAGATTAGAAAATGAATTCGGTAGATAAATATTTGAATTAGATAGAGTTATGGTTTAAAGATGTATTTGTATCATAAAAAATGATAGGAATACATATTTTTGATACATAGCACATCCGATTGGATATAAAATGTCAAGAGAAGTGCCTTTATGTCCTCCTTGTTAAGTTAAAGATGTTATAAAATTAAGGAAGGGTCTTTTATTTTTGAAAGAAGAAAAAGTGAGAGCACCAGATGAAGCTGAATATTGGAGTATTGATATCAAGATTTAGAATTAGCAGAAGATAGAACTATTAGTTTAATTTTTAATGGCACATCAAAATAAGAATGAATCTGATCTTAATTTTAAATTCCAAATAGGATTATGAAGTTTTTCAATGAACTTCTCTTTTGATTGGCGGAAGTTTTGTTGAAAAAACGATAGTTTAATCAGAAGTCTTCAAAAACAATACTTACTAAATCAAAATAAAAATCTGTGATAAGATTTAAAAAATAGAAGCTTTAAAGCAATAACTATCAGAGATTTAAGATTTTCAAATCAAGAGGGTTAGGGTTTGACTGAATATAGCCCAATTATATATGATACAAATTTTAGTCGAGTTATTAAAGCAGTTGTTCTTTTTTTGTATCTGAAATCAAAAGTTTTGGTTCCATAATTATATTAATGTAATTGTAAACTTGTGACTACTAAAATATTTCCTCTCTTGTTTATTTTAGAAAGATCATGTGAAGTTAATTAGTTTGGGCTATTGAATGGTGTCATTTTTAATTGAGTTTACGTTCTAATGATTCATCCTGAAGAATGGAATATCAAATAATTTTCTGGCTGTGGTTATTATTAAATTAAGTTTCCAACTCAGAAATAGTTTTATAATGTATTATATGTGTGTGGCTTTTAAAAAGTTTGACAATGATGTTTAATATATGGTCCTGCTTCTATCAGATAAATTCCCAAGTTAACTTATAGTAACCAGATCTAAAAATAACATCTTATATTATATATTTAATTTATATATGGGGACCATTTTAAAAGACTTAATCTTTTTAGATCCAATCATCCAAAACTAAATGAGTTTCAAAAAAATTTTGGAGGTTGATATTTTTAATTCTTCTTTTTTAACAACAACATCTTAAATTTCTATTCTATTTATATATATGAATTGGAAATTTAAGTATTATAATAATGATTGAAGATTCTCTTTTCAATTTAACTTTTATGATGACATAGTTAAATA